AATAGAAAAGAAAAGATTAAATTAATAGATAGATTATAAGTTATAGTCACTTAGTTCTCAAGGCATTCAAGTTCTTCAAGTCTCTCCTCTATATTAATTGGAATAGTTGAAGATTTCAATCAATTCTATGCATAAAAGAGCTTCTACTAATCTTGGAGTCAAAGAGCTATGAGGCGGAACCCTTCTTTCTTAATTAGACGATTTCTCGCCTCTCATGTATGATTTTGATTACTGCATTGAGGATATGACCTGCAGTGCTGGAAGCAGGCTCAGATGCAACAGTGGAGATAAGAATGTGTCACGGCCTGCTTGTTGGTGGTACTTTGGATCAAAGGAAAAAGGTTTGAACAGGGACCTGGAGTGTCCTGGATCCCACATTGGACATAGAGAAAAGGGGGAAACTAGAATATAAGCAGTGGTGCTGCATATGCTAACAGGTCGATCTTTTGGGAAAGAAGGTAGCGGCCCTCTGACAAATAGCTAATACTTCTCTTGCTGTTATAGCGAGCATGGGATATTTAGAAGAGTGGACCTTCCACCACATTAGAACATCAAAATTCTTTACATCAGATTCATTATTCTCCCCCAAATACTTGTCCAACTCTATTTTGGAGTCCACACATTGTTCTGCAGCTTTCTTCCTCTTCCATGAAAATCTAAGTTCATTATCCAATTCTTGATTTATTCCATTATATACCACTGACCCATCAGAACACACAACACGCTAGTACTTGATTCCTTCAACAATTGAAGATCCCAAAACTGAAGGATAATGATGAAATATAGCATTAAAATTTTCTAGCACTATGCTACTCAACTGCTTAGCCTTATCATCCTCGTATGTCACATTGATTACATACACATAATCTAATTTCTGACGAGGATCAAGAACCGCTGCAATGAACAACAATGGGTTAATGTTTCTAATATTTCCCCAATATTTGTCATGCGTCCCTTTCATTCTACAAGCCATTGTGCTAAGAGAAGGGTTGTAATTAGTAATTCTAGTTTTTTATAATGAAAGACATGCCATACACAACATGAAAATATTCATTACTAGTCACAGACAAGGATACTGAAACATGTAGTGTGGCATCATAAAAAGCTTAGAAAAAGGAATCAAGGCATGAGCAAAATCCCAATCCTAGAGAGTTGGACAACCTATTTTATTTTTCTTTAATTCTGTCTTATACTTCTTATCCCCTTCCATCCTGTCAAATGCCGTTTGAAACTTAACAGTAGACTCTTAATACTAGATAAGTTGAGTTCCTAGTTCTCACATCGAGGCACATAAGACCTTTGCTGTCAATTCTCTCTTGCTCTGTGCATGCCTTAAAATTTTGCATCCTGCTGGTGATGACTTCACATACCTAACTGCATGATGGATTTGTACTATTGATTTATCCAACTCTTCCAAACCTTCTTTAACAGTTAAGCTAAGTATGTGGGCACAACATCTCATATAGAGATGTTGACTTCCCAGTCTTCTTCTCCAATACTGAATTCCAAGATCATTTGAGCCTGCTTTATCCGCTGTGATTGTGAGAACTTTATCAATTCCCCAATCATGTAAATGTCTCTCAACATGCTTCACAATCAAATGATCAGAATGACTACCAATTTGAGAAAAATTCATTACTCTCTTGTGCATTTTGAAGTCACAATAAATAAAATGCACAGTGAGAAACATGTAACTGAGGTGTTGCCTAGAACACCAAACGTGAGTAATAAGACAAACACATTGGGCTATTGTCTTAAATCATTTCTTTAATTTCTCTTTCTCACTCGCAAACATTTGAAAGCAATCTTTAGTAATTGTGGTATGTGAGGGAATTGGGAATCTAGGTCACAATGTTGCAAAAATTCCGAAACTCTTCATGTTCAACAATCCTAAAAGGGTGCTTATTAAGGATAGCCATTCTGGCCAAGTATTTTCTACACAACTCTTGGTCAAATTTCCACTGTGCATGCTTCACTTCTGTCAACTTCTTGTTGAAACTAGATGGAGGATGAAACTTTAAAAGCTTTTGCCTCTTATCAACATTAAAAGGGTACATCATGCATTGACTCAGGTGATTATGCAAACTATTTGTCCCTTTCTTAGTTGGACTTGGACACTTGATTTTTCTTTCACAGTATTCGCAAGTAGCGGATATCTTTATTTTCAAAGAGTAATCTATTGAATTGATCCCACACAAGAGAGGTCCTACTACCTTCTTTACCTTTTGAAGGTGATAAAGGTGGCTTCTTTGTTTCAACACCTTCTTGATCTTCACTTTAATTAGGCTTTGAGTGTCACTTTCACAAAAAATGCTTGTCTCTATCTTACAGGTCTGCAAAGAAATTGATAATGCACAAAAAACTAATCTTCAAGTTGAGATGGACAAAGAAATTCATAATGCACAGCTGGTTGTCCATAGTTTCCTTATTTTGGAAAAAGAAATCATTTGGCTAGTTGTTTTAAAAGCTGCTTTCCAAAGGTTCTGTAGAAAACATGCTCATTCTGCAGAAAAACTGCTTGTAATAGATTCTGCAGAAAAAACATGGTGATTATAACTGATCAAGTTGAGAACCTCTCACTAAAATAAAATTAATTTAATTAAATAAAAAATAAAGGGAAGGGAATAGCAATCTAATGTGATGCTGTTCATTATTGACACATAAGCCCTGCTTGCACCAATTTTGTATACCAAAGAATTTTACTTAACTGACCAATTAAAATATAATATAGTTGAGAATGGTGATCATAACTGATTAATTCATAAATTTACATTTTTTTGTACATAAAAGGTGTCAATAATTAAGATAAATAAAGCTTCTTTGTCATTTTGTTTGAAAATAAAAAGTTACTTTTGTCATGCCTCCTAATTCATATGGATATATGATGGGGGAAAAGCCAGCAGCTTACATGTAATAGGCTAATTAGACTTGGGAAGTCATGTGAGAGAATTGATTGGATATAGGGGAGGATGTAGTGTGACTTTAAAATCCCATCATCTATAAAGAATCATGGGGAGCACCATCGACAAAAAAAGTGGGATGTAAGTATTTTATGTATATATATACAGATGTATTCTGAATAATCATAAATATTCAAAAACAAATTGTGAGATGTGAATTTTTTTCTGAAAGAAAAGTGGGGATGTAAATTTTTTTTCTAAAAGAAAAGTGGGAACTTTTGATGTTAGGAAAACATAAGAATGCAGAAAATGCTGAGTTCTTAGATTATAAAAAATTGAAATAAATTCAAGATAGAAATTCAATTAAGTACTTAAATGTCATGTGTTGATATTGGTTGATTTAGTATCTCATTCTTCACCAGCTCATTGACATCAATTGATTCAGTAATCTAACTGAGAAGCAAAATAAATACATCATTTTTATTAATCAAATATTACAGCCCAGTTTGTGTAGAATATAAATAATCAAACCAAGCGGCTTTTACATTTTTATATGAACATAATATAAAATTCAAGATATAAGAAATCTAAATCTTAGAAGCTGTCAGATGAATAGGCTCCATTGAATTGTCAGATTACTATTAACCATGGAACTCCAAAAGAAGAGAAATTGATTGTCATTAGGAGTAATATGATTCATGTTTGTAACCTAAATTTGTTTGATATTAAATTTGTTGTGGAGTAGATGGAAAGTTAAAAATTTAAGAACAAAAGAGTTGGATGTGCTCATAGTTGCTTATGGCACATAGCGCACCATAGCGCAAAGGGGCCGTAGCAGCATAGCGCATAGCGCGTAGCGAATAGCGTGGCTATTCGGTAAAATAGCGAAAAGTATATAATAACAATATGTAGCTAAAATATATCATAAAAACAGCATCCATAAACATTACAAATCTAACAAGTACTCAAATACAAACCATTCAACAATCATTTCAACATATGAAACATGAAATTGTATATCAAACATAGTCTAAAATATAAAATACCACATCAAAATAAAGTTCAAAACATAGAAATCTGATCAAACAAAATCTAGAACACCAAATGAGTGTCTAAAACTCATGCTTATCCCGTCAAAAGCTATATCACCGCCACCACAAACATCTCTTTCATCCAATCCTTCACAATCCTCCTCATCTTCACTCCTTGAACCAGCCTCCTTTGCATCATCAAGATCAATAGATGGAGAGGACGTTCCTACTGGTCTCCTTGTCCCTCTCGAGGTTGAGGTTGGAGTTGGAGTTTTGGTGGTAGATCGCCTAATAGGACGAGTAGGCTCATTAGCTCCTAAAGCTCTAGTAACAGCACTCCAAGTTAAACCGTCATCTTCATCAAATACATAATCATCTTCATCCTCTAATTCTTCATCAATTCTTCCAAGCAACCTCTCGTTGTTATCATCAATATCTTTCAATGAGATTGGATCAATTTGATCACAAATGTTATATCTTTGCCTCAATGCTCTATTGTATTTGATGAATATTAAATCATTCAACTTTTGCTGTGCAAGCCTATTCCTCCTTTTAGTATGAAGCTGCAAAATCAATAAATAATTATTAACATATAGATTCATAAGATGGATAGTTAAATTAATAAGAGAAGAGTAACTTTTAGTTTAAAGTTTATAATCACTTATATTTTCAAATACACTCCAATTTCTCTCACAACCAGATGCACTGCATGTGAGGCCAAGAACTTTTATAGCAAAAGCTTGCAAATTAGGCGCACCTGAGCTATATAATGACCACCACTCAGTTGGTGCCTTTGTTGTTCTGGCATGTATATGTAACGGACCATGGTGATGGCCCGTTCATCCAAGCGCGCTGCGATGCGAGGTGGCGCCGGAGGAGGCATCATGGTGATGAGGAAGACCCGATTCATAAAGAGAGGAATGAGGCGCCAACCGGGAGCATGGCGGCCAACGAGAGAGTCGAAAACAGGAATGATGGGAGAACGGTTTGAAGGTGATCCGGGCATGGAGGCAAAGTCATCTGGGAACCATCAAAGGGAGATGGATCGGGGATAGCCACCGGGAAGCAGTCAAGGCGCAGAGCAGCGGAGCACTGGAGCACCTGGGGCGTGTCGCGCTCCAGACAGTGGCCAAGGTGGGGAAGCTTCCAGAGACACGGCTGACGTGGCAGACTGGTCGCTGACGTGGCAGATGGTGCAGATGTGGCATGACAGATCAGCTGCCAGCTCGGATGACAGCTCAGACGGACACACGCTGGACACACGGCAACACACGCCAGGAACGCGGGCGACACACGCAGGAGCGTGCCAGGAGCACGTCGCGCCCAGGTGCGTGGTGCTCACGATGAGCGTTGCGCCACGAGGTGCAGCGCATGCCGGCGCGTGGCGCGGCGCGACCCTTCCAGACGCGCCCGAGACTTCTGGAAGTTTTGCATATTTACAAGATTGCCATTGGTTTCCTCTATAAATAGGGGCCTCCCCCTCCCATTTGTAGCATGCAAACCAAGCCTTAAGCAATAAAGCTCTCTCTTCCTTTCTCTCTCTAGAATTGTCTCTCTTCTTTCTCTTGAGCAATATTGTGAGTTTGAGGGCTTTGTGAGGAAATGGCTCTTGGGGTGACCAACCTAAGGGCTTGGTGAGAGTGAGAGTTGAGTGAGTGGCCTTTGGGGATACCTTCCTAAGGGCCCTTCAAGTGAGAGAGTGAGCTTGGAGTGTTTGGTGAGAAAGTGCTTGAGGTGTTGAGTGCTAAGGCTAGACTAGAAGCCTTGCCCTCTCTTGTGATAAAAGTGAGAAGGGTTGGCTTGCTAGTGTGCCGCACGAGGGTTTGGGTTGGCTTTAGCTCTTAAGTAGCTTGAGCCTCTCAAACGTCGTGACATATAGCCATGTCAACCCCAAAAAGACCTTCAGCATTTTTATATATGCTCAATTCCTCTGAAATTTTATTTTGAATATTAGTATCAGGAATCAATTTTTGAATGCATTGTATCAAACCCATATTAACTTCCTTATCATTCTCAATGTTGGGATTTGTATAGAAGAATTTTGGATTCAAATAGTACCTGGCAGCATGTAATGGACGATACAATTGCACTTCCCATCTTCTATCAATAATTTGGAAAGCTTCCCAATACTTCTCATTTTCATTAAAGGTCTTGGCAATTGCTTCCTTGGATCTATCCATAGCCTCATAAATGTATCCCATTGGAGGTTTCTTTTCGCCGTCAACAAGTCTAAGAACATTAATCAATGGACTATCCAATTAAGAGAATGTATAACATTTCTCCAAAATATTTCACCAATCACAATTTGAGCCACCTTCTTGCCATGTGGATCCTTTGCCCACTTGCTTCTTGTCCATTCTTTAGAAGTGAACATTCTTTTCAAACAAGGTTTTTGTTGATAAATGCTGGAGAGTGTTATGAAAGCCGTAGCAAATCTTGTTTTTGCAGGCCTAACTAGCTCTCTTTGTTTGGTGAAGTGCCTCATCATATTCAACACACCCGTATGGTTGTAAATAAAGCCACTCAAAGCCACTACTTTCTTCATGGTCGTATTGAGATTTGGAATTTTCCAAATATCCTCCAACATCAAATCTAGACAATGAGTAGCACAGGGAGTTCAATACAAGTGTGGATAGGTTGCCTCCAACAATTTCCCTATACAAAGTATCAAATAAGTATTTAAATTCTTATAAATAAGACTATAAATTAGAAAGTATTAAGGAAATGTGAAACTTATACCAGTATAAACATTGTTTGAAGTACTATTCGTGACAACTTGAACAACATTAGTTGATCCAATCTTTTGCACAAACTTATCAAGAAATTCAAACATTTTATGTCCACTCTTCACAAATTTAGATGCATCCAAGGACTTAATGAAAACAGTGCCCTTTGGGCTATTGACCAAGAAATTGATCAATGTCCTTTCTCTTCTATCTTTCCAACCATTTGCCATGATAGAACATCCAACTTTTGCCATTGCTCCTTAGATGTCTTCATCATGTCATTGGTGTGATCTATTTCCTTTTGAAGAAGTGAAACCCTCACCTCATGATATGAAGGCCCCTTCATGCCGGGCCCAAATTGTCCAATAGTCTCAATCATGACTTGAAAACTATTGTAATTAACAGCATTAAAAGGAATCCCAGCATCATACATCTATCTAGCAATTGCTTGACATGCTTTGTCCCTTGATTTCTTCTTGTAATGCTCATTGATAGTAGTTTGCTTTCCTTTTAAATTTTTTCTATTCTCCACCACTTCCTCTGGATCAGGAGTAAAATAAACATCCATTGGCCCTTTTTGCTTTGGCTTTCTTGGCAAAGGTGCACTATTACTACCTTGTGTAGAAGCTATACTTGAAGTCCTCTTCTTCTTTGACTTATCAGTTTGTGGTAATTGAGCAACATCGTCTTCTGTCTCATCTTCCATTAAATCATAATCCTCATAATTATGTTGAGTAGGAGGCACTAACACTTGATGGGATTTAACTTCTTCCTTTTGTATCATATTTTGCCTAATTTCTTGTTTGACAGTTTCGGGACACGATTGACATATACTGACATGTCTATTGCCTCCAATGAAATGATACTTGGCTCTAGTGATCCCACCAGCTGTAATCTTCCCACAAAAGTTGCACATAACCTTGTTGGCCTGCTTGGGATCAACCTTTTTACAATATTTCCAAGCTGGATCAGCACTACCCTTGCTAGAGCTCATTTTAATTCTAAATTACAATGCTGAAAAACAGATAGCTTAAGTACAGAGGTCCTCTGTTCTGTAGTTCTAGGCTGAAACAGTAGGTTGAAACAAATTTCCCTCTCCACTAGAAAGAAGCTGAATAACAGGCCCACTAGAAACACAAACAAGCACCTCCTCTGAGAAGAAAGAAGCCCCACATCTCTTGAGTAGAAGACAGAAGCTGAAGAACAGGCCCTGCAGGGTGCTTGACAGACAGCAAGGGAGAGAAGAGAGGACTTAGAGAAGCCTTTCGACAGCCAGCAAGGGGATTCCAACAGCCAGCAACAGTTGACTCACACTCAGCAGCTCGACTGTCAATTGCGACTCACACTTAGCCACAGCACTGCCAATCGACCGTCAATCGTGACTCACACCCAACAAAGCTTGTCCGAGGCTCGACTGTCAATCGCGACTCACACCTAGCAAAGCTCATCCGAGGCTCAATTGTCAATCGCCTGTGACAATCGACTCACACCAGCAAAGCTCATCCGAAGCTCGACTGTCAATCGCCTGCGACAGTGGACTCAACCCAGCAAAGCTCGTCCGAGGCTTGACTGTCAATCGCCTGCGACAGTTGACTCACACCAGCAAAACTTGTCGACTGTCAATCGCTTCTAGGGTTGATGGTGATGGTCAAGGAAGAAGAAGGGCTTGCGACTCTGGACAATGGTTCGAAGGCTCAAGTCAATCGACAGCTTAGGGTTTGCGTGAGGTTTTAAAATCATCTCAAGTCTGTAGGTATTAAAATCATCTTAACGGTGTAGCGTTATTAGCGTGCCATAGCTAGGGCAGCTTATAGCGCACATAGCGTGCACTATAAGTCGCCATCAGGAGGTTGCCACGCTATGGCCTCTCCATAGCGCAGCAAGCCATAGCAATCGCTATGGCGCAATAGCACGCTATTGATAACTATGGATGTGCTAATAAACATATGCATCTTAACTTGATGCCGATATTTTGCATCACAAAATTCTCAATAGTTACATTGCCTCAAAGTTTAATTAACCTTAAAACAGACTCGGAAGGGTACAGGTGAAGATGAAGATCAATAATGAGATATCCTCAAATATAAACCTAATAAATAATTCAAATCTGTTTCAAGTTAACAACGTAGAAGTAAGTTCATTGATGTTATCAAAGATAAATAAAATTGGCTGAAAATTCATAACAAGATTGATAGCACCAAGGAGGAGGAGAAAGAAGAAGAAGAGAGGGTGATTGGTGACCTGCAGGGCAGAGGAGGAAGAGTAGGAGGAAGGAGCAGAATGCAGTAGTGGTCAGCAGGGAGGAAGAAGAGGGAAGAAGAAAAGAAAGAGAGAGAGAGGGTGAGCGGTGGTTGGCAGGGCAGAGGAGGGAAAGAAAAAAGTGCAGGGTGCAGCATTGGCTGGCAGAGACGAAGCAAGAGAAAGAAGAAAAGAGAGAGAGGGTTAAAATTTTTTACAATTTTGAAGATATTAAAAAACTTTTCCCCCATTCTATATAGAAGCTTTATAAACAAGAGATTTCATTATTGGTGTTTGCTTTGTTAGTGTTGATGAACTTCTTAGACAAATATTTGAATAACTTCCCAAGTAGTTTTCTTGAAACTGGAAATTGGTTTTTTCTGAGTGCACAGAAGTCTTTTGACTGTGAAGGTAGCTCAAACAATTCTCTCCTTTCACATCAAGTTGGCAGAGTTATTTGTGCAACTGCTTTTCTATATTCTGGAAACTAGGGATGTGAAAAAAATGGCCAAGCCTGAAAAGCCAAGCTACCCAGTCAAAATTCAAGAGGAAAATAAACAAATAAAATTTAGAGGCTGCAACTTGCCTATACAGCTAGGTATTGATGTTGTTACTTTTTTTTTATGGAACCAGAGAAGGGTATTATTGGTATTGGTATTGGTATTGGTATTGGTATTGCTTATATGGGGGCTGGTCAAATGGTGGCTTATTGATTCACTGAAGTGGCCGAACTGGATTCTGTTTTTCTTTTACCACTCAACATTTGCTTCAACAGTAATTTGATAAGCTTCCCTAAGATTCCCCTCCTCTCTCTCACTCTCTCTCTCTCTCTCTCTCTCCCTCTCTCGCACGCGCGCATGGTGAATGGTTTTGGCTATTTGTTGCTATTTTTAGCTTTACAGTAAACTTTTGATGGTCCTCTCTTTTGTTTAAGTTTCTATTTATTTAATTTAATTTAAATTTAAAACTTTCCATATTAAATTAATTTAATTTGAAGGAATGACTTTTTGGTTATGAAAATCTTGAAAATATTATCTGCTGTGGGCCTCATAGAGATGATTTGTTGCCAAAACAGGCACTTTTTTGAGTATTTTGATAGAGATGAGATAATTGTTGCTCATATGGTTGGAGGAATTGATGCTTATATCAAGATGTCCCATGATTGGCCATTGGCCAATCATGCGTTGTGGCTGATATCACTCAAGAGCTCAACTCATTACTCAAAGGCAATTTCAACGAGCTTTATCAGCAAGGTTCAGGTGAGTGATATTATTTTGTCTTCTTCCAGCTTTGGGGAAAGTTGTTTTGGAACTCATCTTTCAAACTCCGACTTATAATTTTCCTGCCTAACATTGTTCGTAGAGAAATGTGAATTGCCCTCTAATACATAGTATTTACATATATTTTTAATATCCTTTCTAACAAATTAGGTTGCTTGAATTGAAATATTCCCCAATTTTTATTTGTATTTTTTTTAACTTTCTAATTACAAGAGATAAACCATTGGTCATTGCCAGATCATTAATCTTGATTTTGTAAAACTGTTTACTACCATTTTGTATAGAGAGGGATAACTAAATTATTTATTGAATAGCACATCCACTTGCATATGGGCACATTTTTACTCATAGATATGTGGACACCTGGAGACTTGAAATTGTTAGGTGGTAAGACTTGAAAATAGGAGCTATAAACTGGTCAAACAAGAAAGGGAAATAATCAAAGACTAATAAAATCTTATAAAGCATGCAACTGATGTATTCTCTTGCATTCCCACTCAAATTCAAGGTGGTATCATCGACTTAAGTTTGGGTGGACATGAAGTTGAACAAGAATATGGATATTAGTGCAAAACACGAACAGGAACTTGAAATAAATTAAGACATGAACTTGAACATGAAGATGGTGCTTGAACTTGTGACTAAGCCTCACTTTACTAAAGTGCCTAGCACCTAGCTTGTTGGCAATAGGGGTTCTTGGTGCCTTCCAACCTTGCTCTTCTGTAAATAGTTCTATAGTAGTTTACATGAATCATTATTAGTCGTGCATGTCTAAGTAAATTTGATAATTTGTCTTAACATTTCTATTTCTAGATTTCAAAAACAGGAAATGAGTCTTGTTTAGGATTTCAATTCCTAAGCACCCAGATGTTACTTTTAGAGCTTTGTTTAACAGAAACTTATTTATCTATTTTTCTTCTTTTCCTATTTGCAATTGCTGCTAGGAAGTTGCCAACTCACTGGATGCACATATACGGCAAAACATTTCAAGCTTTGTGGATGCTATTGAAGAGTTACTCAGGCAACAAACGGCATCTTGAACTGACAAGCTTCATGCCCAAGTCTAGGTGTTTTGTTATTGGGCAAGGGCAATTTACTGTTGAGATGCTCATCAGTGTATTGAATTTATTGGAGTCTTTGAACTCAGTTCATCCCTGTAGAAACACTGATAGTTGTGAATGCTGCAACATGTTTGACCATGGATTTATGGTGTGCCCTATAAAAGTTTGCTATTTTTTTGTTGACTTACTTTTGCTTCTCATCTTTTTCATGACGTTAGGGGGAAACAACTGCTGCAAAAATGATGTAATCAGCGGGGCATATTTGATCTTTATGTTTTGAATGAGCAAGTGATGTTCAAAGGAATTCAGCATTCCGTTCAGTTCCGATTGTTGTTCAGATGGTAACTTTTAAATTTTCTTTCTACATATTTGTTTGAAGTTTTTGGTTTAAAATTGACATATGACAGGGGAGCTGCACTTGGTGAGAACGCCGCTGGAATAATATTGAATGATTGTCATACAAATGTTGAGGCTTGTTAGTTGATATTACGTATTAAAACTTGTCCTCTAAGTGCTAGTTCCCTAGTCGTACTTCTATTTTATGATTGTGAACTGAGGCATCTATACTGCATGTAGCAGAAGATTACACTGCGCTTACTTTTCGCCTGTAAAGAGGGGGCCAACGGGAGTCAGATTATTTTTAAAAAAAGAATAAAAGTAGTACAGAAACGGTCCTCTACTTATCTCCTTTGCTAAAGAATATAAAGTTGCATGATTTGTTTCTTTTGTTGTTATTCGTTTTCATTTGTTTTCCATTTTTGTTATTTCTTTGTCTATTATTATTTTTTTCATCTAACTTTCATATCTCTTGCTAGCCGTCATATGCATGGCCTATTCCAACGTGTCCAACTAATTTTTTTGTTCAATCATATTCCTCAACCACCAATTTTTTTTTTATTTTTTTATTTTTATTATTTTTTTTTTCTCACTTGTAGTCAATCCGTTTGCTTCTCGTTTCATTGGGTTAAACTTGATAAATTAGTAACTTTTATATACTAAAATAATAAAAACAAAAATAAAAAAATATTAACAACCAAGCTTCCTGTCCTGGCTAGGTTCACATGTTTTATGATGCAAATTAAAAATATTGTGAGCCATTGTCAACTAGTTAAAAACTAAATATTTGGGAGGATAGTGATACAAGTTTTTGTTCTTAATTTTTTTGTCATTAAATTTTTAAATGGGATTTGAAGTAAAAAAAGATTGCTTTTGACTCATAAATAACCCTATAATAGTCGCTAACTGACAATCTAATTTCTTTCTTAATGATTTGATAAACAAAATCAATAGAATTTGGGAACATTCTAGTTTTACTTTATTAATTTTTTCCCTCTTTTTTGTTATCTTTGAATTAAAGTCATTAATCTAAACTCTGTGCAGCTATTTGATTATTTAAACCCTCCCAAACAGATCACTTCAGATAACAATTCTCAACTGTAAACTATTAACCGTTTCGTCACTCTCTGTGGCATCTTACATATTTATTTATTTATGACTAAGAATTGCTATTGTTGAGTTGAGATTTTTTTAATTTTCAGATTAAATCTTGATTATTAATGGCCAAAGTGCAGAACTGCTTCCCCAACTATATGGGAATTCTCAATTTGGTCCCTTGACAACTCATTTTGCCAATCAAGTCTCTGACTACTTTGGTTGTACTAATCCAGTTCCCTGCTCCACTTCCATGTGGTGGTAATGGGCCATTGACGACGAGGTCAACCATTCTTTTGAAAAATAACCTGTCGAGAAAAGAAAAGAAAAGAAAAAGCAAAACAAAATCTGTTAACCCCAGCGTAGGAGTGGTGTGTAACGTGGAAACTCAAAGTTGTGAGAAATGCAGCTGTGTTCGATCTCGCTCTCCCGTTAGTAGGATGGAAGGGGAACTTGCTTTCCCGTGTCGGGTGAAAAGGAACTCTCACTCGGAAAGGAGTACCAACAAATAGCCGAATTGACGGCCTTATTTGAGAGGGGCCCGGCCAAATTCACTTTGGCCAAGTCCCCTCTCATTTTTTGTTGGGGAATTTAATCCTCCAGGTGGTTCTAGATATATTATTCCTCGAGTATTTAAAATAATCTTTTTTTATAATAATTTAAGATTTGTCTTTTTTTCTTTGAATAAATTTGATATTGTATTTATAATTTATTTCATAGAGGTAACTCGTAATTCTAGAGAGTGATGATATAGTTGGTGCCGTGATTATTTTGATGATCAAATTATTGAACTTTTTGATAACACTATTGGTATTCTTTATTATAACATTTATTTCAGAGAGATTTATACAGAGACATGAAATATTTTTTCCTATTATTTAAAAATTTATAATTTTTTATATATAATTTTTTTTTAAAAAAAGAACAAATATCTTATATTTT